CGTTCATCTAATCAAACGCATATATAATTGTATATTATAGCTTTACAAAACCGACTGAATTTAGTTGGATAGCTAATGAGAACAAAGAAGCACCAAACACCTGATTCATCTTGGTGCAGGACTCTTCAACAACACCCATTTATAACCTGTTGTGACTTGAGAAAATATTTTATTATTACAATTGTATGAGCGATTAGAAGCTTTTAATATGAGTGCGATCAAAGCAAGCCAGATAAATCTGAAAATAAAACACAACAGGACTTTATCATTGAAAACCTACATGCTACTAGAGATAAGACACAAAGAGTTTTCGATATCCCAAATGAATATGATACACGAATAACATTACCATTTATACATATAGTACAAAATAACGATAAACAAAATCATTCTTTAATAATTTCAATCAGTTTTACCTCACCAACGAACAACAATTTCAGAAATTAGGATTATCGATACCGAGCCATTTTAAATATTGAATGTAATGTTTATATCTTTGTATCAACTTTATTTTTAAGTTAAAATCTCGATTTTAAGTGTATTCATTTTATTCAATATTGTCTCAACTGGAAGTAAACCGTTATGGCAAGTATTATGAACATGAATAGTACCAAATGATAGAAGTCGCTGTGATATAACTCACGTTGAATTATACAAGTCACTATAGATTTTACCGTGAATTTCGACAACATTAAATCTTAACATCTAGTCCTCTAAAATGTCCCACAATATTTGGTTCTCTATTCAGTGACCCCATGGAGCTCTTGTAGAACAATTGGACATGTATACATATTTACAGTGGAAGAAAATGATTTAGCAAAGGTTCAAAAAGAAATCACATGTCAAGTGGCGTAATCTATTAGCAGGAAAAATGTATTAAAAATGTGATACAGACAACTAATTAGAAAAAACTGGACTATAAACATGTAATCTGAACTTGGCGCTAAAGCCCTTATTTGAGTAGGAGGTTAAGGCCAGCCAACGACTTAAAAATGATATAAACTAGGACGATAAATCATCCAAAACAAAAGTATTTAATATGCATCTGATTTAATCTGTAGGTAGTTTTAAATTTACAACTCCGCAAAAGCGCAATCAAAGAATACTAGTAGTGACGAATTTGCCTGCACTACACTACAACACTAAACAAATTGAGGAGTTGAATATCTTGATAAATCAACCTATTTCCAAACACTCCTTATCAGGAAACAAATCACTTAATAAAGGAGTTTGTTTGACAGTCTCGAACAGATGAAACTTCCTGTTATGATTGTACTATCAAAAGTTTAGATAAATATGATCTAAATGACTGTCACAGAATTTTAACATAGTTAAGATTTAATGGTTTAACTACGTTTATGACATTTGGGTGACCAATTAGAACCTGAATTGACCGACGGAGTCCAAAGAAGTTAAGAAGTATTACAGACAGTCCCATGGAGAGCGTGACTCGCAACATAATACAAGAACTCATCAAACTAATTAAATACATTAATACTTATTTCAGACGGATTTCATAAAAGCATTAAGCACAGCTTATTTACACTACAATACAATTATAAAAACAATGGTAATAAGGATCACGTTTATAGGTTTTCGAGAAGAAACTCAAATAAGATTGTAGGGCGGAAGTTGAAGAGCATTTTATTTCACAAAAAGCAGAAATATTGATAAAGAACATAAAGTACACAGTAAAAATAATTAAACAAAAGAGATGTTTGCGAAGTAAAATCTCAAAACAAAGTAGATAAGCCCAAGTTCCCATAATTCAAAACAGAATATTAAGATTAAATCCATAAAAGGAAGGAGACATTAATAATGACCAAGGATGACATGAGCACGCAAAGAAAACATTATTAAAGTGGTGAAATCATGATGAATAAAAAATGAGAATTTGATCTACTATGACTGACTTACAGCTATCATCATGGCTTCCATAGTTGCTGTTTTTTTAATATTCTCGCAGTCTCAGCTAGGAAGCATAAACCCTCTTTCATTGTTCAAACCAAAGGTCAACAACTTTATTATTTTTACGTCCTGATCTAAGAAAAGTATGAGGCTCTTTTACCCACACTTGCAATAACAAGTATCACATGTTTTGTAGGTAATCATTTAGCATCCTTAAAATGTCTTAATTAGCTTGGTCAATATAAGTTCGTAACCTCACAAACTGATGACTCCTTTACTACGGAATCTACATCCCAGTAAGCTTGATAGTTTCACCATACACATATGTATATATACCCCTCCTTATAAACTATGTCTGACAAGTGTATAGTAGTGCAGTCGACAGCTCTACAGTGCATTCACCAAAGAATACAAATTCATGTGGATGACGGTGGCTACTAGGTCATCTGCCACATCAAATCTACAAATTTCCAAATAACAGCTTTCGAAACATTGAATATAAAACTTTGCCACGAAGTATTTAGATTGATAGTCAAATATTAGTTTCAAGATAATAAAAAAGGCTGTAATGAGCTGTCAGTTAATACCCTTTCCACAAAACTTCATGAGTTACACACATCTTCCTTCTCAGTATGTCGCTATTCACGCTTAGTGTACACAAGACTGGTGTTTGTGAACCTAGTCAGTCATTCAGCTACAGCGTAGGACCAGGTACATATATGCATCGGTCCAAGTTGCTACACTTCATTAGCACAACAAGATGAACACCGAATTCATAGTAGTCACTTCAATGGTAGTAATGTATAAAAGAAAGATTGTGTATAAGGATATAGTACAGAAAGAAAGGTATAACGTAATTTTAATCTCACTGTTTAAGGGAAGACAGAAAGTGTATACACCGACGCCATTGTGATCGATTCTGAGCAATGTCACCCACAGTCTCCAACCATGAATTACAACAGTCACGCGGACCCCAACCAAGTAGTCTGCATCTACCAACATGGCTCAGACTAGAAGTTTGCGACTTCAAGGAATGATGCTACGTTTTAGTTTGGCCACCCCAAACTTTCTTCCAACCATCTCCAACACTAGTCAGCATTGCGCGTCGTGGTAATCGGTGTTCAGGCATACGCAACACATGACCCAACCATTCCAGTCGATGAAAATTCACAACCTCATCGGCTTATTTGCTATCGTTCCCTAATACCCTGAACTTATATCTAGTCACTGAAAAACAATAAGCTATTAGATTTTAGAAACTTGAAATTTTTTTTCCTTTATACTAGACTTAAAAAAACAACAAACGAACTATATACATTTTATTTATTCTAACTAAAGGTACATAACTATCACAAAAGATCCCAACAACAAACCACCAATTTTTACCATTTCGCCTGGCTTCAAGTGTAAGTTATTCTTAACTACTACCAGATTAAAGCACTGGTGTAAGGTCCCAATTTATATTGGGATAAAACTAAATGGGTCGAGAAATATGAGGAATACAGGATTTACAGCAAGAGAACGTGAGAGAATAAAATGTAGACCAACGAGAAAGCCTTAAAAGTCACACGAACAATTTTAAGAACTTATATGAAAGTCTTTTATCGGAAGGACTATTTAGAGGACTAACATCATCATGTTAAAAATCACTAAGGACAAAATACAAGTTGAAAATTTAGAAAATACTTGCTAAGAACTTAAACCACCTATGAATTTCATAGAGCAAACTATATTGAAATATTGTTTCAAAGACGTTTTTATATTGACGTTCATTTATTCGATAATGATAGATTTTTACCGTTATTAACAAATATATATTTTTTTCTTAAACAAATAAATGACTTGTTTGTTGACAATGATCAAGTGATCAACGAAATCTTGTAGTAGCATATGTTACGTATCTTTTCTCTTTGTTTTAGTGACCCTGTCATACGTAGTTTAGAAACCGGGTAATGCATGAAGCGGCTCGTTTCCATATCACATCAGTAACGCGAGGTTTCAGAACAGTATGATTAAACACAGTATTAACGATAGTAGAAAATATTAAAGATGTTGTTCGGGAGAATACGGGTTATTGAAATGAACGAAATTTGAGATAAGAAACTTAAGATATAACGAAAAGACAAAGAGTGAATGTACCTGGGCCATTGAAAACGATCCAGAGCCATGTCATCCAGCGTCTCCAACCACTGATCGCAGTTATGGCACAGACTCTAAACAGGTAGTCTACACCAACCAACATTTTTCAGTCCAACAACCGATGACTGCATGGACTGATGCCAAGTATTGGTTTGCCACTCCCTAACTTTCTTCAAACCTATTGCTACACAAGCTATCATCTTGCGTTGAGGTAGGCGGTGGCCGAATATTTTTTTATTCGGTGGTGGCCATACATAATAAATGTCCCAATCACTAGTTCATTTGTGATACGTCATACTTTTTTTACAATCAGACCTGAAAAGCTCCGTATATATTCACAAGCTACAAATCCATACTCGTACGCTGATAAAATTGATAAAATTAGCATACCTACCTAATCATGAAATTGTGTTGCTTCGATGTGACAAATCGTAAATTCACGGAAAAATAGAATAGGCGCTAACGACGAACAAATAGGTTGAAAGGGCTGCAGAAATTCATTCCATGAAACAAAATATAAAAGTTAGCTATTACACAATAATTAAGTAACTAGCAACCTAGAGATAACAAAATCAGACAAAAGGTTTCGAAATAAAGGCATTTATTAAAATTTTGAACAGTTAAATGGATATCACGTTGTTAACATCAAGAAAATATATGTAGAAGGAACTAGCACAAAACTTCGCCTAGATATTATCACTCGGTTGGCAGAGTTTAAAACTAGCTTTTGACTGGAACAATAGGTAGACGTGATACTTATGTAGTAAGATTTAGAACGAAACGAAAAGGATCGAAATACAAACACAAAGTCTTAAGTATTGTTCTGAAATAATATATATTTCACAACCTGTAATTTGAGCTTTTATTGCTATTCCATTTCTGATAAAAAATTAACATGATCTAAGCAGTATAAGATTTGTTAATCACTATTTAACAGAAACAGGTCAACTCACCAGTAACTTAAGGTCAGTAAGTCCTGGAAGAACAACCAGTTTACAAACTTCAGTCAAGTCAAACTCTGAACTAGGAAGCGTTAAAAGTAGCGAGGTAACAAGATCAACAGACTCTTGGTGAAGTCGATGTATTCTGTCGGTAGAAAGCTTGAAATATGCGCATCCCTCTGCATGACCAGATTTTTTTGTATCGTATCCAGAATAGTAAGTAAGGACTCGACCTCCCACTTCACGAACAACTATCATAGCACAAAATGGTAAACTTGCAACTGCTAGAGAAAGCTTGGTACCAGCAATCCGAACATCTAATCTGCTATCACTCAGAGCAAAATAAATCGTATCCAGAAGTTGATGTGCAAACCAATCTGCATTATCAGCACTTAAACCATCAATGTTTCTGCATGGTGATTTACCAAGATTTACGCTGATCCTGGATTGGAATGGTTGTGTAAGTAGTGTGGCTATTTCTAGTGAACACAGTGTTACATTAAGGTCAGAATCACGAACAAATATTTTCAGTAACTCCATGAGACACAAAAGAGATCGACATTGAGACAACTCCCCAGACGTCGTACATTTACCAAAGTTTTCTGAACCAGAAAATCCGAAAAGAATCCTTCTCCCAGATGGGGTATTTATGCCCGAAACTACAGATTTGCGGATTTCTTCAGTAACTTTATGAATACCGTAGCCATCTTCATTAGGTTTGTCAGCTGTCTTTTTTAAATGAGATACCAACTGATTAAATGTGGAGTGTGACATGAGATGATCTACATCTTTATAACAAATGGAAGTACAACCCGTTACAATAGAATCATAGTCCAAATCCGTCCTATCAGGTGAGACAGTCTTAAAGTTAGGAGTCTGGAATATCTGTAGATAAGTATTGTTCGGATAGGAGTAAGAATTCTGGGCACATTTCTGACGATATTCATTTCTTTGATATGTCATTAAGACTCCGTCTGACCATCGATGAAACAATTTCAAGTGGACGTCAGATAACATCCCATCAGCATTACGACATTTCCAGGTATCACGAAGAAAATCATAAAGCTCATTGCCAAACAATTTGAGTAACGAAACAAATGCATTCTTATAGACAGATTTGTTCCCAAACGACGATACAAAACAGTCAACCAAATTGAAAAAAATGGGCTCAAAATGACAAGCGATGTCTTTTTGATTATAGGAATGGAATAAATCTGGAGTAAATATTTGTGGAAGCACTGAACATAGCGACAATCTGGCGCTAGGATGACTAGGAGCAGACAGACCGTGACGTACCAGCGAATCAATACATGCATCTAGCTTAGGAAGCTTCAAACAAAACAAAGCCACACGAAAAATAAGTCGCAGGTTCTGGGTAGCTGAACGACGACATAAAATGTCATCCGATGACAAAGAAAAGACTAAGGCACTGATGAGATGTTCAACATTGATAGAAATGCAAGAACAAATGTCAACGCATAAATCTCCACTGGACAACAGAGCATTTAAGGCATTTTCTGTTTTGTTCAGAGCACATAAAACGAAATCCGGTTTAGTCCAACAAACGTCCAAATAATTCGTAAAAACACAACTATGTGGTACGCCTGTGAGACTGTGATATTTTTCTTCAATAGTGTTGCAATCAGCTTTGGAAATATGACCAACCGTGGTCATTAAAACTAGTGTTTGTTAAAAACTTTAAGATACGGACTTTACAAAACACGTTAGAACGACTTTAAGCTGTGTTGATATTTCACTTGAAAACACGTTTCATGATGATTATCTCAAAGAAAGTAAGTAATCATGACTAATTCCTCGGAAAAATGTCACTGTAGCAATCCGTGTGATCCAAAATGTTTACAATGGATACTAAGTTCAAAGGCGTGCTTAACGAACCTAATTTGATAACGCGAACTGGTAAAACAAAACCTCGAAATTCAATAAACAAACAACGAATAAGATACAAACCAAAGCAATTATTGACTTCCACTTGATTTTTGCGCGGTAATCTAACATTTTAATATTCCAGAGCAAGTCGATTCAAATGATTCAAGTGGTTGTGGACAGGACAGAAGCTTCCGGTCAACTGGCGGAATCACCATCAGCTACAAGTGAAAACCGGGGTATGTTTATCAAATTAAATATGAGTGCCAGTAAATTTTGATTAAATAACGCTATTAGTAATTAATAATGTGTCAATTTTCCTCTTGAATGACTGGCGAGAAGCTCCATGGATCACTTCAGTCCGTGACGTATTCCAGATTTTGACTACATTTAAAGAGTATAAAGTGTTCTCATGGTCCAATATACTACACTACTCCCCTGATCTCCAGGTGTTTCCCCTGAGGCATGTGTTAGGACTGAGCATAGATAAGTATTTAAATAGGTGCTTAGGAGTGTTTAGGATGATATAAGTCATTAGGTCCCCTCTAGGACGCCTCTACAATGATGATCTGAAGTATAATACACAAAGTTACAATTTGCGCCCTCGAAGTGATTACATAGCCAGCCTTTGAATACATTTTAGAGTTTTTTATATCTTTGGAGTGAGGGGTAGTATATCATAGTTACACATTCTAAATGGAGCTGAATAAAACTTAAACACTAGCTGAAACGTTCTATTATCAAACTGTAAAGACGCACTCTCTGACATTACCAGTGCGACATTTTCTCAGAAACACTTTTGTCACAAATCAGACAACATCACACCTTAAAGTAAAAAATGAAATCTGTAAAATTTCAAGCCAAAAGTGATTGTAGTTGTAAGAGACTGTTACCAATAATTTGAGAGTATCTCAAGAATAGTAAGTCGTATGATAATAATCAATAGGTCAAATAAAAACTTATGGTATAGGCAAAATAAATATACACAAGTTAGTTACTTCACAGTTATACAATAAGAGTTTATATATAATATCAATATATTATATGTTCCCAGAAGTTAACTACAGTTTAATCTTCCTTAGGATATAACAAAGAGCAGAAATCAATGATCTATGTACTGAGATATTCGTGCTTAACGTCGCTTCAATCAGCGAAGCTAGGTAACTGACAGCAGGTTTAAAATCCTTAAAATCCACAGTTTAGCCTAGGCAGTTGATAGAATGAAGTTGAAACTGACACTTGGATGGGTTCACGGCAACACTTGTTTAAGTTAATATTCCTAGCATGAACTACGGTATCATTCTGACACGATTATATACTATCAATATTGGTGATAATCTGATTTATAACATTCTGTAATATCTCAAGAGAAGCACTTAATCCGTGCGGCAAGAATTTCTATCTGAACAGCCCGAATGCTGTGTTAATATTAGTCGGGTCACACAACATTTCATCCGACTAAATTTCCTAATACACGTCTTTCAGATCGATTTTAGAAGGACAGCTTGACTCTATTAATTTTTCTAGGATATATTCCGCCCCTTTGGTGGTATAATTCCGTTGTAATAGCTGGGTATTCAGAATCAGGAGGTAGTCGTCACAAAATCTGTGTTTTCCATCCACCTTTAATGAATTCATAGAGGGAGTAGACCAATCGAAAGGCTCAGCTGTGGTTGAAGACAGACCCTCCCTCTAGTCCTAACTGTACTGGTTGAACAGCTTAACTTCCCACGGCTTTGGAGAATTATAAGACCAAATGTTCAATTAAGATAATTTCAGAAGGATTAAAACATAAAGAAATGAGTGAGTTCAGAAATCGTAGTTCTTTTAAACCAAGCACAAATGAGCATTACCAACTAACTGGGACAAAAATTTTAACAGAACTACCCTTATCTTTCTTTGATAGAATATAAGCTGTACCAATAATGGATAACTGGTAGCCAATAATCGTACTACTTCTTGGTTGTACCTAGACATCGTTATGGTGCAATAACTAACTTCTTTTAGAAGGAAATGACTCCGCAATAACAGTGAATGGGGTCTGTCTGTGTTAGTATTTAATTGCTTCTTTGAGTTAAGCGATCCAACATGAGGTAGTAAACGACAAGGAGTACATTCGTCTGTACAATTCAGATGATATTGACCCACAATCATTCAATGTTTTTGTAGCATGTAGCGTGGTGTCGGATTGAACTTGATTATGATCACCGCTACAAGACTACGTACCAATTAACCAATAAGATTCTCGTAGGTCAATATCAAGAGGGCAGATAATAGTAGTAGTTGAAATATATTTGCTGGCAATCTCGTGATATCGAAAGAATACCAAGATCGTCCCAAAAGAGTACAAATGCGATCGGCAAGGAAAGGTATGTGCGTAGTCACAAACCGCGTAGAAGTAATAGAGTACAATGGAAGACCAAAATGGCTGTTATTAGCACAGTTAAACAAGCGAGTACAATAAAACAATCACTGGTACAATTGGTTATAATAATAATTGTTTTCATCGAACCAATCGCGTTCTGTTGACAAAAGCAGGTTACTACAAGCAAATGACCAGACACAACATTTTTATGCGCCTAACCCTTCCACACTTAAGGTAACGTGAATGACGAAACCGGCATGAACCAAGAAATTCAACTCTATCACATAAAAGACGGGATCTTATGTCGAAAGGCGGGCCGAAAGTGCTTTTCAGCTATCCACTTATCTGAAGAGATTGGGACTGTTCATCTTAGAAGTCCGAGGTTTCTGAAGAACAGAATATTTACTTGCATTCCAAAAAATCGTTTTGTTTCTTGAGTAAAGTGAGAGTCTCTAAGTATCTAAAAAGTGTGTTAAGAAACTTTTAGGAGCTGCTTATTTAGTTGAGAATAATTAATGTTAACAATCAGGCGGTCACGAAGTTGGACATTTTGCTCACCGAAGTCGCATTTTGGATCTTGTGTTAAAAGTTGTAATATAAAATGTAATATAATGTGGTTCGGATACAGAACGAATTTGTTAAAACACTCTCTTCCACTTGTTTTGAACGTTTTTACATTGAATTTTATGCTTAGTAATTTATTTGCTCTGTTGGACAGAACTAGTATCTAACGAACTAAAGTTTATTTAATATGGCCGAAATACATTTATCTACATAACGTACAAAGAGATTTTGAATGACTTGTGTTAAATCATATCAAAACACAAAACCGGGCTTAAATTAGAGCAACTCTCATTTAAGAAAGAAAGTACTGTTGGGGAGGATAGATCCCCCAAAAACTCATAGTTTGTAATTTTATCTTGTGGAGCTTGTATGCAGATGTATACGTGGGCATTTCTTACCACCCACGCACATAGTTGATCGACGAATTTATCGATTAAATATTTAAAAGCTTCATGGCAATATCGAGATATATATATATATTTGTATATATACATTTTAAAATTGTCTTGTAAAAAGGTTTGCTGGTTTTCGGGTTGTTGCAGAATATACTCTCAATTCAAGCCTGGTCTTCTCTCTCTAGATAGCTGGGGCTGAGATGCGTCATTAGCTAGCTTACTGGTCTTGGTCATCGAATCTCGTTCTCGTTCGCAAATATAAGTGAACTCGGTAAACTTCAAACCTAATAAATACATCATAGCAAAAGTACAAAGTACAAAACCACAAAGCCTGTGCTATACGGTCAAAAATCTCCCAGACACCAAGTATCGCACCACACAGCGAAAGAAATATGCAATAAACAAGTGTTCGATGCCGGATAATCGATTACCATATTTCCAACAAAATGCGATCAAATATCTATGTGGGAGCATTCGAACAACCGTTTTCGACGGAGAATCAAAGGTCAACAATAATCAACCGAACCATGCTCTAATCTTGAGTCCACTCAAACACTGACTTATTGTCAAAGGTAACAAAAT